GACTTTTTCCTTAACTATTTAGAGCAACTTTGTTTGCTCCAGACTCGGTTCATCCCTTGAAGAATTCCTACAGCTCTGGACGTTCTGACAGCCGTAGCTCGTGGCCACCCCAGCTGTCATGAGAATTTTTGCCATGCTGTAGTTGGATTTCACAGATACATTCATGGAGGTTGTGGGGTTTTTTGTTTTCAGTCAGCCCTCAACTATACGGCTTTGCTTTAACTTCTCTCCAAATGACATTATTGTTCTTTTTTGACTATGGATGTATTAGGCAACATGCACTTAAATAGCTTGTGGTAGTAACTGAAGTACATCTGATTTGCTCAGTTAGATAGCACTGTATCCAAGAGAACCTTCAGCAGAAATCTTCTGAAACCCTTTTCGCTGTGTAAGAAAGCTGCTTCTTGCAGACCCAAAAAGTGTCTGTTAGCTGGTTTTCAAAGTTCTATTCAGTGAACATGCTGCGTGGTTGACTCTAGGTTCGCCTTCCAGCAGATGCCTGTGTCACCATGTCATCCATCAATTTAGACATAAACCATTTAATTATAGTAGGAGCTTTCAGAAAGGTTTCTATCCAGGCGGCCACTCTGAAGGTTAATCCGTTGCCCAAGACAGTGTGAAACTTGCTGCCACAACGATTGCAGTTTCCAACCTGACTGGCAGCGCCAGGAACTGAAGTGTGGTTTCTAATAGAGTGGGATTCGTATTTATCCTCACGGTGATATTTTTAATGTTGCCCCTCTGCTGGATGACCCCTAGCTCAGCTGACAAAAGGAAAGTGGTTTCAGTATGTTGCTCTGCAAAGGCATATCTCCTATATTATTTATGGAGCTCCTCCCACTAATATGACTAGCTAGATTATCTGTAAGGCTGTACTTGTTCTGAAACCACTATTGATTAAATGCTGAGATGAAATTTTTTTTTAGAAGCTGTCATTGGAACATGCTTAGGCTGCACTTGCTGTCAGCTTAACAGTCATGTTTCTGTGTCTTCCTCTAAATTCCTCTCCCAGCTGGGCTCTTTCATATCTTAGCATTAAAATAGATTCTTCCTAATTAGACAGATCTCTGTCATGATAATCATCTTGAGAACGTATGCTGTATTTTCATACCGCGTATCTTTTCACAGATCAGGCCTGTACTTTATAATTTTTCAAAATCGTAACGCACTGAATAGATCCTTTACCAAGCAATCATCTCCTGTAACTAGTAATTAGTGTCCTGTCAGCTGATACCGGTAGGCATTAGTGTTCAACTGCTGGCATCAGCAAATTCATCTTACATCACTTAGAATTCTGATATATTTGATTCTTTTGAAATTCCAGTTGTGAAGACAGTTTTCTAAAGCTGACGTGCAGGAGGAAAAAAAAAAGGTATAGAGCAAATACACACATTTGTATAAATTACTACATAAGAGGTGAGTGTGCATAAGTCTGTGGTCATAAATGTAAGTGCACACCTCTGTCACGAGTGAATCTGTGCTTGTGTCTGATCGCAGAACAGAGTTGTTTGGTCAAGGTTGTGAAGAACATCTGTTTTGATGACAATAATCAGTAGTAGAACAACGCTGAGATCTCTCTATTTCTTGTGTTGCCCAGGCTATAGTCTGAGGGGGGTTTCCCATTTTTATTTATTCAGACTCAGTGGCTTAGCAGGATTGTTGTCCTTCATAAAACCAGAATTTAAATAGTTCCCTAAATAGCTCATTTTGGCCTTAGTTTTTCAGAAGCTGGTAATTGTTTAAGTATCCTTAAAATAAAAGTGATGCAAAAATGAACTGTGGAATCTTATCTCTATTATGCTATTTTAACAATTGCCACTCAATACTTGGCTTTAAAAGAAAACTCTCCTGTCAGATGAAAGTTTTGTGTTAGCTCTGGATGATGGCTGTAAACCAACATTTTAAATGAAATGCTGATTCTATTGCTAGTTTTTAGATATAGGGGATAGTGCTTTATCTTACAAAAGGTTGTACTATAGAATAATGCAAGTATCACCACTGTTGCTGTTAAAATGGTTAGGGAAATCGGCAGATACATACTTGTTCAGCTTTGTTTTAACCTCAGCCAATTGAGAAATATCTTTTGATCAGAATCAACCGTTTTTAGAATGTATTCAGATGCTTTTTCACAAAACTGCTGATTGCTCTGTTTGCAAAACTTCTCACACTAAGGACAGGTTCGTTACTACAAAACTTTGTTCCTCGACTCACCACCCCTGGGCTGTGCAGCCTGACAGAACGAAGGCACGTAGCTGAGAGATGAAAAATCCCTAAATTTTTAATGGGCTGGAATTTAATTCTGTAACAATCCAGCATGCACATAAAAAAATACCATGTTTGCTGCCAAAGTGATATACTGAAAGTTAAGGTACGTTTGTGTGACTCCATATAGATTGAAAAATGGTAGTCGCAGGACAAGAAGACAACTTCTGTCAAATGCACCAAAAAGCAGACTGTAAAAAAAAAAAAACCCTACTGCTTTTACATGTATTTCTGACCCTATGGGTATAAGAAACGTTTCTATCTTTTTGCGGACTTGGTACTCTTTGGGTCTGCACATCCTTTTGGGCAAGGCTGGCGGCATGCAGGCTGGCGGGCTGCAGGGGGCACTGCGGAGGAATCCAAAAAGTACTTTTTCGAAGTTGAACCTAATTTCACAGCTGTCTCCCTTTCTGGCCTGCTGACACTTTCCATTTCAATTCAAAACCAAACAATCAATGGGGAAAAAAAAAAGACAAAAAAAAAGACCAACCCCAAACAAGAAAGCCCCCCCCCCCCCCCCCCCCCCCCCCCCACTTCTTACATTCAGTCTTTTCCTATATATTTCCGTACAACTAAATAATACTTGTCTTGCGGAGTTGGATGGAGAGGAATAGTTATTGAAAAGCTTCCGGCACATCCCCCGGCTCCAAATTAATACCCAGATACCGATCTTCGTAAATGACGCAGGATTTGCAGTTTCCCCCTCCCTCTTAGGCTGCTTCTGAGCAGAGCTGTAATTTTTCCCTCTTTGTTTTGTGATAAAGTAGTAATTGGTGATCACGAAGAACAGTGAGTAGCTTCACTTTGGTTCTCAAACTGGTACTAAAGAAAAGTTTTAAGGGGGGGGCAGGGGGGATGTTGGAGACACGCTCGTTAGTCCCGACGCAGGGAAGGTGCTAATTGCTAATTTTATTTGTCCACTATTAATTTCCATCTCAACATAGTCAGGAATTGTTGCAATAGGAATGAAAATAACCCCAAATTTCATATTGCTGAGCACTTAAAGAAGACAAAGACAGCTCTTTACCACTGTCAGTAGCTTAGAAATAGTATCCTATGCTAATCTGCAATGGCAGAAATGAAGACGGTTTAAATCAGATCTCATGACTAATGTATGAGTTCCCAATTTTCTTTATTTCCAGCTGCTTGTTAGAGAACAAGGGTGCCTCTCTGAGATAATTCTTTTTTTATATAGGTATAGTAAAAGAAAAAAAAAAAAAGGGAATTGGAAGTGCGTACTAGTTGGAAAAATAACAATCAATTAGAACTGTGCGTGCAATAGCTTTGTCTGCAAAATGGTTTAAAACTAGGTTCCCGGGATGTTATTCCTGATCCATTAATCACCCGCGCTCTATATGGAGGCAGCCACCGTCGGCTTGGAAAAATGTTCCTGCCCAACGTGTCATGTTTCTTCTGTTGTTTAAAATAGAAAGTTCAGCCCCGTGTCTGGGCGGCACAGGGCTCCGCGCTCCGTTCGCATTCATTATGCAACAGTTGACACAGAAGGGAAACGCGGCACACGCCGCTCCGCCGCGGGGTGCGGGGGGGGGGACGGGGGACACGGGGACCCGCGGACCCGTCCAGCGCCGCCTCCCGTT